AACCACTCATCAGTACTTTCTTATTTTTAAGTTCTAGTATCAACCACTCATCAGTACTTCTTATTTTTAAGTTCTAGTATCAACCACTCATCAGTACTTCTTATTTTTAAGTTCTAGTATCAACCACTCATTAGTACTTCTTATTTTTAAGTTCTAGTATCAACCACTCATCAGTACTTCTTATTTTTAAGTTCTAGTATCAACCACTCATCAGTACTTTCTTATTTTTAAGTTCTAGTTCTTTACTTTTATCTTTTGAAGTAACTCGAGACTTCTATTTTGTTTTTATTTTTAGTTGGAGAAAAACTATGATACTTTACTGTAAAAATGTCAGGAGAAGACAAAGAACCAAACAATTAGATTTCTAAACCAACTTCTGGTATTTATATCAATATTACGTCATCAGCATTACATCTCTTACATCAAATTTATGTTGTTAGATGTGATATTTGGACTTTAGAGAAAAACGTCACATAGTGTATGATTACACCATAGTTGGACTTTACTATAGAAAGTTCATAGTGTGTGATTACGCCATATTTACTATAGAAAGTCACGTCATTTATGATTACGCCATATTTGGACTACATGCGTAATGATGTCTAGTTTTCTTTGTTGAGCTGTTTCATTTGACAACTGATGATGTTTGTACATAATGATGCCTGCATAATAGCAAACAAAACAAAACTTACGTAGACTGCTCTTTAAATGCACATTTTTTATGGGTTGAAATTATTTAAAACCTTTGGTAATTAAAATGATAGTAACTCTTTTGATTGAAAATTTAAAGATTGTATTACATCGATATTTAAAATTGTGACTCAAATCAATTCAGATTAACGTGCGCTATGAATGAAAGTTTAGTCAATAAATACAAAGTCAATTTCCGGGTCTTTCTTCCCTCAATTTGTCTCTGTTTCACAGAATACATAAGAACAATTCGGATTACTGCCATATAGACCAGTTTCGATTGACATTACTTGAACAAATTTAACGTCAGGTCAGGTTACTGAGAGGCAAAACGTTTCTAGAGAAATATATAGGGTATTATACAGTATTTGTGTTAGTTCTATATTTATACTGTTGTAGTTTCTAGGGTATTATACAGTATTTGTGTTAGTTCTATATTAAATACAATAGTATATCTAGGGTATTGTACAATATTTGTGTTAGTTCTATATTAACTACAACAGTATATCTAAGGTATTGTACAATATTTGTGTTAGTTCTATATTAACTACAATAGTATATCTAGGGTATTGTACAGTATTTGTGTTAGTTCTATATTAACTACAACAGTATATCTAGGGTATTGTACAATATTTGTGTGAGTTCT